GCGCAGGGAGCCATCAGCCCCTCCCAGTCTACTTCTGGGCATTTCCTTCCGCCTTTGGCATACTTACCCCAGATGACAGGAGACATCTGTGTGAGTGAATGCATGAACGGATGAATGAAGACAGCACCTACAGAACTACCCAGACCCTGCATGTCATGGTGGAGCTCCCCCACTTCATCCTGGTCCCACCGCAGCACCACCTGACGCTCTCGGCTTTGCTTCTTCCCTTCAGGACCAACACTGGCATCGAAGCCTCCCTCGGCCTTGAACTGAAGGAGGAGAATGGCCCTCCTAGCATCACCCTTCCACCAGCCTCTGAACAGGCAGCACCCAAATTCTGTGTCTATATGAATCCCCTAGGGAGCCACTGATTCTGAGGGGAGGGGCACAAAATGTGCTCTTTTTTGTTTCTGGAACATGCATCTTAACAAATTCCCAGGGCTACTCTGACCCAGATGCTCAGGAGACCACTTCATCTGCCCAGACTGGCAAACACTGCACCATACTGTGGTCTTTCCCAGATACAAATCCAATCATGTGTTGCCTTCCTTGCTCCAGTGGCTCCCCGTACCCTCAGGATATCACACGGTGATGGAGGTGGCCCAGGCCTTCATCCACCTGCACAGCTACACACAGGTGACTAACCTGGCCCTGCTCCCTCTCGCTCCATCTTTGCACACCCACTTCCATCTTCCAGTAATGCCCTTCCTGGCTTCCTCTTTGAATAACTCCAACTCATCCTTTGGGGCTGAAGCGTGGGTGTCACTCACTCTGGGAGTCTTTCCTGACATCCAGGCTGGCTTAGCTTTTCTTGTCCTCGACCCTCCTGTATTACCCTGCCAGAAGTCATCTCTAATTCATTTTCTTTAACAAACATGCACATAGTGATTACTATGCGCCAGGAACTGTTCTAGGTATGTTACAAATATCCTTTACCAACCCTCTGACATAGGAACTCTCATTATCCCCATTTTACAGATGAGGAAGCCGAGGCCCAAAGAGGGCAGATAACGTGCCTGGGGCACACAGCTGGTAAGTGGCAGGACAGGGATTCGATCCGGGCAGCCTGGCCCCAGAGTCCACGCTCTTTCCCACCTCCTCATGCCGCTGCCTCTTTCCTGTCCTAGCACATCGTGCACTGTGTTCCAAGGACCTGCTGGTAATTCTCTCCCGCTAGACAGAGAGCGCCTGTGGCTCTTGGGAGATGAAACTCCCAGCCCAGGGCCCAGCACACAGTGGGAACTCAGGGACGTTTGCTGAGGACAAAGCTGCGCAAACTCATGGCACTGGATCAACAAGGAAGGATAAAATTCCTCAAACCTCAGAGTCAGAAGAGGCTTTAAATGGGATCAGGCCCAATGACATGCCTACCACGCTACTGTTTGTAGAGCGCCAGGGTGTGCTCACCACCCGCTCCACCTCTGCGTGATGACTTTCTGGAAGCTCCACCTTATGCTTACCTGAAATGTGTCTCCGTGGTCACCAGCCCACACGGAGCTGGTCCAACTCGCCTTACAGATGGATGCTCTCCCGATATTGAAGACAACCCTGGTCTTCACGTCTGCAGGTTAACCCTTTCCTCTGCTACCTGGGGAGCTGAGTTTCCAGTCCACCTTGACATTTCCCTCAGAACCTGCTCTGGTCAATCAGGGCCCCGCCCAAGAAGCGGACCCCCGGACACAGGTGCCATGTGCCCCCCATAGACTGACCCCTATCATGGCCAAAGAACTTTGCTCAAAAAGAAAGAAATGTATGATACGCTGTTTCAAAAGCTCTGTCAACACATGGCTGAAGCAGCCTCCGGGACACCACGAGCCCTGGACCCTGATAATGGTGATGCATCATGACAGGACCCAGTACTGTTTACAGCAACTGTGCTTCCCCGAGCTAAGGGTTTTCCCACAAAATCTCCATTCTCATGCCAGTGTTTCAAAGAAGCAACAATTAACTCCTTTTTTACAGAAGAAGAAACAGAGGCCCTGGGAGGTCCCACTGGGCGAGGGCACACGGCTGCTAAGTGGCAGAGCAGCACTCAGACCCAAGGCTGTGGCTCCGGCGTCTGCGTGCTCCCGCCACACTGCCGTCTGGGGAATGCCGGTTGGAACGTGGCGAAACGTGCACAAAAGCAGCACGAAGGGAAGGCTGGGCTGAAGCAGGAAAATGGACGGTCACAAACGAGCAGCAAGAGCAGCAACGTAACTCAGCCCCCACAGCCCGATGGTCTTCCTCAGCCACCCTGAAGGAGTCCCTCAGTTTGAGAAGCTATCTTCCCACTTGTACTCGTTTTAACGAGAATAATTAATGAGATTTATGCCGGACTTGTTCTCTTCTTCGATTCGAGCATTGGGAACTTCAGGATCCCCCTATTTCCAAACTCAAAAACATCCAGGACTTGAAAACACAAAATGAGTGATTTTCATTAAAGCCTAGTAGCGTGTAGGGAGTCATTAATACTATTTAAAATAAACATATTTTGAGAAACTTTGACCTGTATGTTAATCTTTTTTGTCTCCTTTCTCTACTACCTCCACCCCGACAGTGTAGAAAAATACCCAACACACATAAATGCTTAACAAACACATCTGAGCTCATATACACACTTTCTGTACTGAGAAAAAGAAATCCTTATTTAAACAACCCGATTTTTTTTCATTGTAACCTGGGTCATAACTTTCTCATAATCAAAACATCAGAAAAAGAAAACTACCAATGAGACAAAATAAAATGTACAGTCATTTCAGAAAACAAACACAACTACGCTGTTCACTTAAAGTCCGAGAAAACCAAGTTACATTCGATTGCCTCAAATATCTTTCCTAAAACAGTTATACGTGCTAATCTGGTATTCACAAATTAGCCGAAAGAAATGGTAAAGCAAAAGTCTATATATTTTAGGGTAAGGATGAAAATGTAAGTATTACTTAAGTATACACCTTTAGATTATGAATAAGTGCAGTTTCTTACACCATAAAAATTAGCAACCAATAACATGATTAAATAAATAAAACAATCAAACTCAATTTTCACAGAAATTGTTAAATTCCAAAGTTACAGTTTACCTAGAAGCAGGAGAGCGGAAAGGACGCCCATATCTTAATATTTTCCCGAACTCCAACACGTATCCAAGAATGAAGACCTCAGACTCAGGCAGGCTAATTTACCCTGCAAAATTTTCCCTAAAAAAAGCGTGGCTGAAAATTGGCTCTCTCAAAACAGAAGGTACTTTCAGAAGAGTTATATAAGCAAAACAAACAGGCCAATTCAGTGACATGGAAACCACCTCATGCAAGAGAAACGCAGCAAATCCAAGTAACCCACAGTCGCGTCTCAGAACCTGTCAGCTTCTCAGAACCAGAATCTCGGTTGATTGTAACATCCTACCTCTCTGATCAAAGGATGAAAAATTTTTAATGAAAAGTGATAAACAACTAAATGGCCAACAGTCCTAATACACTTTTTGGAATGGATTCTTTTTTTTTACAGTTCCTTAACCATCTGGAGTACCTTTAAACTTCTCCTGCCCACCTTCTCTTGACCTCTTTTCCCATGCTGGAAGGATAAAGTGGGTTATTTTTAATTCTCTTTACTATGAGAAGTGTCTGTCATATGCACCAGATGTGTGCATGAAGCATATCACAAATCAGAGGTGAAGCAAGGAAATTTGCTCGAAGCCTCCTCCCTTCAAACCACTTATTCCAAATGCCAAGTCATTCTCATGCCCCTTGCATCCTCAGAATGTCCCACTCTCTCAGCCACCTGCCATTCCTCCCATCACTCAAACTGCAACAGCAACGCTACCTCCTCACAGAACTGTCCTAGGCGGTGACGGACGCCCAGCTCTTGTCTCCCATCCACGGGGGTGAGGTGGAGATTGGAGGGTAGGTAGGTGGTAACCAAAACACAGTTGCCAGCATCGCACAGTTGTTTTCTCAACTTCAAGGACCCAGTACCAGAAGTTTAGGGAATTAGGGTCAGCCTGCTTTCCAGAGCAGGTGTGGATTCATTCATTCACTTAACAAGCATTCACGAGACACCTACTGTGGGGTCAGCAGTGATGGTTCCTGCAGGAAAGAGGGACACAGACACGGTGCCTGCTCTCAAAAAGAAGACAGTCTTACAGAAGGAAAGACACAAAAACTGACCACGCAGAGAGTGTGAGCACGGAAACAGGCTCAGGGACATACAACAAAGGAGCCCAGGCCCAGTTAGGGAGTCCTGGAAGGTTCCTGGAGGAGAAACGGCTGAGGGAACCACGCGGAGGAGAGGAGGAAGAGCGCAGCCCACGCAGAGGGCAGGCAGGATCTGGCCACAGGAATCTGCCCCAAGAAGGGAAGGGGTCTCCCAGAGACCCACCGCTAAAGGGTTACAACCAAGCAGGTACCAGGCTAGATCTGTGTTTGAGATGACCACCCTTGGAGAGCAGCAGGGCACCTAGATTTGGAGCCTAGTCTGAGCACAAGCTCCCAAGGAAGGGCAGAGTGCTGGTGGTGAGGCCGGAGACCCATTCCTGCCTCGCCACACAGGGTTTCCCATTGCACCAGCCCCGCTGCCCGGGGGCTGAGTTTCCTACTGGGACCTAATCCCCCACACTCACCAACAACTCCAGCCCCACTGCTCACCCAACAGAACAGATGCCCATCCCTCAAAGAACGAACCTGCAGGCTGGGTGCCCCGGCCTCATGGCCTGGCAGGAGGAGACAAGCTAACCACTCGCTGTCTTCGCCTTGGGAACCTGAACTAAGGATCCAGCAATCACCAGGCAGCTCAGGAACCCAGGGGGAAGTCAGGAATGAGTCCGAGGCCTCGTGATTGCTCCTGTTTCTCGCAAGCAAAGACGCACACCCAGACTCCTACCCACGTCCACCTACCATTCGCCCCAGTGATAAAGAGACTCGGTCGTTTGAACCCTCACTGTTCATTTAGAGAACAAAGGTTTCCCACATGGCCCTCTGTTTCAGAGAGAGGCCCCCACCCCTCCCAGGACCCACAACCAGACTCACAGAACTGCAGGCTGAGGCTCACGAAGGCCAGCAGCGCAGCCAGGGCCAGCAGCAGCAAGAAGCGATTGCGGAAAAGCATTATTATCTGTTCTATCTTCTCTTCATGGTTTCACCTCAAATTGGGAACCCGTCCTGTGAAGAGACGAGAGGCAATAAACGTGTGTTCCAAGGTGGGAAACCAAGTTTGTCAACTGAAAACAATCCAATTAGCCCTGTCCTCCGGCAGGGAAGCGTGAATCCCAGGCCGAGAACAATCGTGCGCTGTTGCCTGGGGCCTTGACCCCAGGTAAGCTCAACTGAGAAGGTGCCCTTCAACTTAGTAAGCGGGAACAGGTCGTGCTCCGTTTATCTGACCTTAAAAGGGAAGGAGATTTTCCAGTGCGGACTTTCCAAAGAAAAATGTAAAGGAAGTTTACTGAGCACTTCCGGTGTGCCAGACAACGGATGCTTGCAGGGACCAGCAAATGCTCACGCTGTTCTGATCCCCAACTTCTAAATCTTCAACCTTTCCTGATGAACACCCCGCCAGGAGGATCCTGCTCTTCCTTCATTTCAACCATGACCCTGAAAGTTAATCCCTGCCTCGTGCCCCACGTTACTGCCTTTAGGGACGGCGAGGGTGAGCTGGAGGAGCTGTTCCGACACTAAGGAGCCCATCTGCTCGCTAGAGGCCTCCCCGATCCTGGACCACTGAGCCTATTTCAGCTGCATCCGTGGGTCTCCCTACAGCCCCACTCACCATTCTGATTTCCTCTGACCATGTCAGAACTGTGCAAAATGATTTTTTTTTAATGCTGAATGACGCTCTAACTGCCCCTTCTGTGAAAAAAATGAATGGTTGCCCTGGGGTTTTACTCCCTCAGTCTTAGCTACCAAGTTTATTTCCTGGTTCTCACTGAGGTTTGAAATAGAACTTGAAAATCACAGCCTCTTCAGAAAAGGTACTTAACTATAGCAAGATTTATGATAGGTATTTCAAACGATTTTAGTGGCAGTTTCTTTTTCTCCTTCAAATACAAACTCATTCGGAGCCCCAGTGGATACAGTCAGATAAGGGCTCACCAGTTAATGTGATGGGGGCTACACACTTCTGAGTGTACTAAAAGCTACTGAATTACACACTTTGCGTGAGTTGTTTGGATGCGAATTGTATCTCAATAAAGCTGTTTCCTTAAAAGCGTATATGCAGAGAATAAAGCAGGAGTCCCTGACCCCACCCTCACCCCAGAGCCCCTACAGAGGAGTTGGAGAACTACTCATTTAAGGCACCTGTCAGACTTTCTACCACAAGAGAACATTGGCTGAAAGACTGACAAAAATACACTTGCACCTCACCACTGAGCCTGCAGTCCAGCACCCAGCAACTCTGTTAACAAATGAATCCCAATTTACACCTTCACATAAGCACTGCTTCTGTCTCTTGAGTCACCACTCCTACCTAGGGGTCAGTGCCTCATGCCCTAGGATGGTCTGCAAGTCTTCCTGGGGACACTTCTCTCTCTGGTCTGGAGGGGACTCACCAGCCGTGAAAGCTCTCAGGCATTTCTGGCTAAAACAACACTGTAGGAACTCAAACCACTCAAAACCACCCATTTCCTTAGGTTTCCATCCACTGAGCATAGTGTGAGCCAGCTGCCATGTGGGGCCCTTGCCATCCCGTCAGGATAGGCTTGGTAATTTCTAATTTCTAATATGCAAGCAGAAAACTGAAGGCACAAGGTTATTAAGTGGTGGTGACGAGGTACAAAATGAGATCCGTGCTTCTGAAGCTTTCTTATGCATTATCGTGTTGCCCCTACATGTCTGCACGCTGATTCGGGTTGTCACCTGTGGGTCTGCACAGAACAAGTTAACTCCTGGAACGTGCCAGCTTCTTGGATGCCTGAGGAGAGCTGGCGGCTCCTGGCTCATGGAGCTCACGGAGCTCATGGATTTCAGAACCCTCTCATTATCTCAGTCCTTCCTGATTGGATTTATTTTACTTTACAATGACCCTCTTATAATTTGATCTCTTTAATTTGGGGAAGGTAAGTGGAGTGTGTGGGTGGAGGTTGGCTCATAGAAGGTTCAGAACAAATGTCTCCTTCTGGGGGTCCCTGGACCCACAACAATAAAGATGGGGTTTTCTTCATGCCTTCCTCCCCCCTCTGTTAGGCTACCACCTTCTTTTGAGGCGACTACCATCTTTGGAAAGTCTCCTTTTCCTTCACGTGAACGTCTTCAAGAGTTCCTGCCTGGGGTTGCGGGGAGGATACAGCTCCAGTGGTAGAGTGCATGCTTGGCATACACGAGGTCCTGGGTTCAATTCCCAGTACTGCCACCAAAATAAACAGACAGACCTGATTACCTCCCCCAACCGAAAAAAAAAAAAAAGCCCCTGACTGGCAGATGGCCTCTGGGGTCTTTCAGAGTCTTATTGCTAGGAGGGGCCTGCAGCCCTTGCTGTCTGAAGGTGCTTTTTCTTGTGGGACCACATCAGCAGGGTGTGCAGAGAAAGGGCACAGGACTCTGCAGGCAGACGGACCTGGGTCAGAACCTTGAGCACAGGGGCCATGAGCCAAGTTACTTCACCTCCGAGATTTAGTTTCTTCATCTGTATATTGGGACCAATCACCTGGGGATGCTGTGAGGACTAAATTAAAGGCTAAGTACAGTCCCCAGCCTACGGGAGACATTCAGATGAAAACGGCTGTCACGACCTTCGCTACCTACTCGTCTCCCATCAGGTCACTTTTCTGCTTTGTCCCTCCTCCTGGGAAACAGGAGTAGTTTCTTAACCTGTTTGTTGGCTCCTCCAGGTACGCTGAGTACTGAACGCTCACATGTTCGCACCCCTCTGTCTGCCACCCTGGCTCAAATGTCTTCGGCTCCTCACTCTGGGCCTGGGACGCAACCTTGCCGGCCCGGGGAAACCGCCCACCCCGATTTCTGAGTCTGGCTTCAGCGCCGCAGAGAACAGACTTGCCTCTTGGTTGCTCTGTATTTGGGTGTGGGAGGTAAGAATCTTTCTTCTGATGCTGGGCCAGATCTGGCCCTTCAATCACTTCCTGCCTCCAGCCGCTCGGGAGACTTCCCACCGCACTTACCAGCAGACGAGGCCACGTGAACTGCTAAGCGCGCGCTGCCTGGTTTTCCCCGACGCTGCCTTTTTACACAAGGGTTAATCACAATACGGTTCAGAGTCACCCTCAGACGGGTGTTGGGTGGAAACCCTGCCTTTGCTGAGTTAAACCTCAGGCTTATAGGTTTGCTTGCCCTGTTGCAGGGATGGCCCCAATTTGTTCTTGCCTCTCTGTATCCACGGCCTTGTGAAGGCTCCTCCCAAGCTGACTCTAAGCTTGGACACGGTATCTGCTTTAGCTGATGGGACAACAGCAACTAAGCTACAAGCAGAGGCGTGAGAAGTACTTACGCATTGGAACTTGTCCTCCTTTGCTGCTTTGGGAATGCCAAGTCCACCAACTGAAGACACCCAGGTGAGCTGCTGAAGGATGAGAGACCACATGGGGCCAAGGCAAGCAGTCTTGGCCAAGGCTCTCTTCAAACAACCAGCTTGCGAATCATCACACATGTGAGCAAGGCCATCCCAGACCATCCAGCCCAGCCACACCCCCCATAGATGGATACCAGGAGAGTCAGCCTGGACTAGAAGAATTGCATGGCCAACCCACAGATTATAGCAAATATAAAGGTTGCTGTTTTAAGCCACTACATTTTGGGAGCTTGATCCATGTAGAACAAACACTAACTGATCCAATAAAGTAAAAAATACCTTGGGTCTTTACCAGGAAATTCTAAGTAAGCCAGGGTCTAGATCTCCATGTCCTCATTTTTTTTTTTTTGCAGGCACCATATGCAAAAGCTCCATCTTGTCTACATTTTTCAAATATGCTGAGTGCTTTTTGGGAAAGGGGCTATATTTAGTTCTAGATTTAAAATACTGAGGATATGTTGGGTTAGCCAGATGGCTGGGATCATGTGACTGCCTTACTGCTTTCAGTTTTTGCACTACTGACATCTCTATGTATCTGTGGCTTTTCATTTGATGACACAGGATTCCTTCTGGAGTCCCACCCACCATTTCGCCTTGATACACTCTGAGTTTCTGTGTCCCTATCTTCTGACTCTGTTTTGGCAGATTCCAAATGGCATATGACGGTCAGAATCTCACTACGTCCACTCGAGCTAGGCCCAGCCTGGGGCGCACATGGCCCAGGGGCGGGTGTGGGGTAGGGTGGAGTACTTTCACACTGGGATAAACAGACATCTTCTCCTGAAGTTTATTTTCCTAGAAAACTTAGAGAGGAAGATCATGCTCTATTCCTTTTTTTTTTCAAATGGCTAAACAATAATGATAAGATGCAAAATTCTTATGATTTTAAAGTTTCTCTTTGCTGCTAGAGCTAGGACCCCCAGCGTTGTGTGTATGCATGAGTCAATCCAATGTGAGACTCCAGCGCATGGCTCTGCCCCGGGGTGTTTCTTCACTGGGGACACTTCCTCAGTGGGAGAGGCAGAGGGGAGCCCTGAAGCAGTGGAAAGCATGAGGCTTTAGCCACCAGCAGATTTGTGTCAAGTCCCTGCTCTGCCCTCCTGACAACTTCACTTTGCTGAGTTTCAGGACCCTGATCTTTAAATAAGTTTGGGGATAAGAGTCTGAAAGAGCAAGAGGGCAGTGGGTGAGGAGTAAATATCACAATACACAGAGCACTTGGCAGTCATACAGGCTCCTGCCCACTATCTAAACACAAAGATTTGTCCTTTCCCGGAGCTGCTACTTCTGCTCCATGCTGTGGTTCCCCTTCCAAATCCTGGCCACTGGCCACTTCCCTATTTACAGGCCCAGCCCCATTCATCAGGAGGGGCAGCCACGTTTGCAGCCCATTCCCGGCCCCTCCGCCATGCGAGCCTTCCCTGGGGCTGACTCAGCTGTGGTGCTCTGCCTCACCACAGGTTTTCCAGCCTGGAACATCTGTCTCAGCTTCTGTTGGGCCCCATCCTAAGAAGACAGGATTACCAGCCAACAGGCTTTCTCTGACTCTGTGGCCCAAGCTCCAGCCCCATTCTCCAGAGACCCTTTCTCCTTTTCAATCCCCAGCAAGGAAGCTCACAGCCACTCAAGAAGTTCAGCA